CTGGTTGTGTTATATGTATACATAATGGTTGTGTTATTATGTATCATCAGCTGTTATGCAAAATGATTTGGGTTATTTTTATAAAGGAAAAATTCATTGAAAGAAAACATCAAAGAGTTCATAATTTTGTGAGAAATTACTTGAAAATCAGTCCTTGGAATTTAAATCTTAACTCTGAATTATATTAAAGTTGTTTCAAAGATAATTCATTAAAGTTGTATTTTTCTCTCTTCTTTATTAAATAATTTCTACTCAGCACTTCTTTGAGTGCTCTTGAAAAATAAGAGTATATATGTGCAAGTCCAGTTTAATTACTATATTGAATTACTGATTACTTGTTTTTAATATGCTTCACATGGGCAACTAAATTCACTTCATAATTCAGGTATAGGTTTTATTTTAGAATTAACTTTCACATTAGGTTTGTACCTACATTAGGTATTTGTAAAACCATTTATATTTCGTTTTCTCATTTATATATTTTATATAAATTCCCTTCTTAACAGTTTTATGTTTAGCCAGCTGCTCTGATGAGTTTTTCTGTTTATTGTGTCATTTTAAAATATCACCCAATGAAAAGTAAATTTAGGAATGAGATTTTTGAAGTGTATAAAATATTCTGCTCAAAAAAATAATAGTCTTCTTTCTCTGCTTCTTGTAATCAGAGGAATACCTTACAGTTAGAAAGCATTTTATATTTTTTCATCAAATCCTATGTAATAAAAGGCTAATATGCAAATTGTCCCCTCCACCTGGAGTTAGACCGGGAGTTCAAATGGGATTTGGACCAGGGTGTGGAGCCAGACGGCCAACCGACTGTGGCCCCTCCTGGCCAGCCCCGCCTCTGTTCGGCTCCCCCTACCCTGATTGGGGTGGGCCAGCCGGACTCCACCCATGCATGAATTCATGCACCAGGCCACTAGTATACACATAAATCTTTTATGTAGTCAGTAGTCAACAACAACAACATCAGGTAAAGAGGGCAGATAGGAGCTTCTTATTTACAAAGTAGGTCTACTGAGATAGTAAGATATCACTCTAGTCACAGTTTATTATTAGTGGTGGAACTGGGATTACAATATATATCTTTATACTCAATTAGTATGGAACCACTAATGTAAACTGTGACTGCTATGACCTATTTTGAATTTTTCAATTTTACTGAAGAACTATTTTTGTTTTTTCAATCTACCCTGATCTCTGCTGATGCCATAGAACCCAGGGGAAAAAGAGTTTTAGAATATAGGGTAAGTGCAGAGAGACCAAGTAAAAAAGGACTGAGAAGATCATTTTCAGTAGGATGGTTTAGGTATCAACCAGGTCAGTGAGTTGTCAGATGACTGAGAAGTAAAGAAGTGAAATCAGAGAATAGCAATCATTCTTTCTCAACAATCATTACAGCAAGGCAATTTTAACCAACAAAAAGTGCTCAACTCTGGGCAGTATCTCTACATCTACTTCCCTACTTTCCTATTCTCTTGAAGAAATAATAATAGGGGAAAGAAATTAATAAATGAATTATAGATATAATTTAGAGGTAATCCATCCCTAATCTCATTTCTTGATGAAAGAAGAAATAAAGTTGTCTACTGAGAGAAAGGGATTTGGAAATAGGATGTAGAATTGTAAGAGTGCAATACTTTTTATTATCTTTTGACTAGTAAAAGAAGTCAATTAGATATACCTGCTAATGTGGTTCTCGTTTTTCTGTTCACTATAGATAAGCAAACTATTTTGATAACCGCATGTTCTGCTCGTGGCTCAGAGGAACAGATCTTGAAGTGTGTAGAACTGCTACTTTCAAGAAATGCTGATCCAAATGTTGCTTGTAGGTAAGAGCCTTACAATCTGTTGAAAAGTGATGGATACTTTGATTATCAGACTTAAACATGATTTTTTCAATCCTTACCCAAGGATATGTTTATTGATTTTCAAGAGAGGGTGAGAGAGAAAAAGATCAATGTGAGAGAGAAATATTGATTGGTTGCCTCCCGTTCACTCCTCCACTGGAGATCAAACTCACAACCGAGGTATGCACTCTGACCTGCAATTGAACCCGCACCATTTTGGTGTATGGGATGATGCTCCAACCTACTAGCTCTGTCTGGTAGCATTATTTTTTTAAAAATTATAAACAGTGTGTATTTACTTGGCCATATAGTTGATGAATGAAAATATAAGATGATTTATATAAGATGATCAAAGGAAGGGGACATATCATGAAAGAAATCTTTTAGCTTTTAATTTTTAGAACAGTGTCCTAAGAATTTGAAATGAAAAGGAAAGGAGGACAGTAAACTATTATTTCCTGTGAATCATATAGCCAAAAGAATATGATTGCTCCATAGTAGTAAGCCTCTTAACTTAGTGTTCTCTCTAACATTTAAATCCACTAAACAATTTTATACAAATGCTAAGATATATATCCAAAATAATATATCCAAATGTTTTCATTTCCCTAAGAGTTTTCAATGAATTATGTTGTATATGTGATTGCCTAAATGTGTACAAAACAAATAGTAAGATGTTCTTGCATCTTTTGAAATGTCAGTACTTTTTAAAAATGTACCAGTTTGCTTAAAATTTCTGTCATTGACTTCTTTCTTCTCTGACTCCATTTCCCTGTTAAATCTATTTCTGATTTATTTAATCTTCAAAATGAAGATAGTAGGAAGGAATCTGCTCAATAGAAGTATGTCTAGCTAGAATAAAATAACTATTCTTCATTCATTAATTCAAATAATAATGATCTATGCCTAATATATAGAAATAACTATGTTGACTTTAGGAGTTTTTTCCTAATTTAGCTCAGGTTCTACAACACCTGGACAGCAGCTTTGGAAGGTATTGTACAACTTTAGATAATCCCTAGATCCTTTTTGAGATGCAAAGATTTTGATTTGGTAAAGTGGTCTGAAGCAAGGCCTTTTTTTGTCTCCCAGTGGCCATTTGGCAATGTCTGCAAATACTTTTGATTCTCACATCTGGGAAAAGCTAATGCCATCTAATGGATAGAGGCTGGGGATGTTGCCAGATATCCTACAGTACATAGAACAGCCCCTGAAAACAAAGAGTTACTCATCCCAAAATGTTGGTAGTGCCAAAGTTGAGAAATTGAGCGTGAGAAAAGTCAAGTACAGAGTGGATAATCAATATTTAACAAAGATTTATTATAGCAAAGGAACTTCTTGTAAATTTTTAGCAAACCAATTCACAGAACTTTTTTCTGCCACATATGGTATAATCCCTAGTTAATATTTGAGTGTGTCTTAGAATTGGAAGCTCCGGGACTAGCTGGAGTAAACTTTGATGGGTGCTCTAATTTTCATTTGTACCGTTAGAAGTGGCTTATGATAAAATTTGCCTCTCTGGATTCAATGGAAAATTGTTTTTTTGCTGTTGTTCTTAAAAAATTTTTCTTATTACTTCTACAAAGTTGTATAGATAACAAGTCCTTATTCTCCCAATCACTTACTATCTTGTGAATACACTGGAGGAGAAGTCAAGGAAGCCAGTGTCACATATTCTAGATTATTATGTTTAATTAAGAACTAGAAAGCATCTTTTAGATGCATGTGGTATAGCTGGAAAAACATTCCATTTGAATTAAAATACTACAAGGTTAATATCTCAAGCTAAAACTATTAGGCAACCACACAGTTTCAAAACTGAAAACCCAGAAAAGCTGTCAAATATTAAAGAGCATCAGATTTAGATTAGTATGTACTCAACCAAAATAAATATGTACCACTCTTCTTTATCCATCTGTCTGTTGATGGGCACTTGGGTTGCTTTAATATTTTAGCTCTTGTAAATAATGCTGCAATGAGCATAGGGAAACATATATTCTTTTGAATTAGTGTTTTGGGTTATTTTGGATATATACCCAGAAGTGGATTCACTGGTCATAAGAGTTCCTTCCTTAACTTGTTAAAGTAACTCCAGACCACTTTCCATAGTGTCTATACCAATCTGCATTCGCACCAACAGTGCATGAGAGTTCCCTTTTCTCCACATACTTGCCAACACTTCTTGGTTTAATTATTGATGATAGATACTCTGATCTTGTGGTTTTAATTTATTTCTCTGATGATTAAGGACGTTGAGCATCTTTTTATATATCTATTGGTCATCTGTATGTCCTCTTTGGCGAAGTATATGATCAGGTCCTTTGCCCATTTTTTAATTGGACTTTTTGTTTCTTTGTTTTGCATTTTTCTTTTAATCCTCACTTGAGGGTATATTTTTCATTCATTCTAGAGACAGAGAATGAGAGAGAGAGAGAGAGAGAGAGAGAGAGAGAGAGAGAGAGAGAGAGAGAGAGAGAGAGAATATCAACATGAGAGAGAAACATTGATCCATTGCCTCCCTTAGATGCCCTGACTAATCTGATACCCTTTGATGCACACACAACACTCTAACCAACTGAGCCATACTGGCTAGGGTAATTGTTTGCTTTTTTTGGTGTTGAGTTGTATGAGTGCTTCATAAATTTTGGATGTTAACCCCCTATCAGATATATGATTGATAGATATCTTCTTCCATTAAGTAGGTTGTCTTTTCGTTTTGTCATTAGTTTCCTTTGCTGTGCAAAAACTTTCAAATTTAATGAAGTCCTATTTGTTTACTTTTTCTTTTGTTTCCCTCATCCAGGGAGATACATCAGAAAAAATATTGCTGAAAAAAATGTTACAGATTTTATAGCCTATGTTTTCTTGTATAATTTTATGGTTTTGAATCTAACATCTAAGTCTTAAATCCATTTTGAGTTTATTCTTGTATATAGTGTAAGCAGTTGGTGTAGTTTCATTTTTTTGGCATGTATCTGTCCAATTTTCACAATACCATTTTTTTGAAGAGACTGTCTTTACTCCATTTTATGTTCTTGCTTCCTTTGTCAAATATTAATTGACCATGTAATTATGGGTTTATTTTTGAGTTCTGTTCAATTGATCTCTGTGACTGTTTTTATGCCAGTTTCATACTCTTTTGAATAACCTTGTAATATAGTTTGATATCAGGTAGTGTGATACCTCCAACTTTTCTTTTTCAAGAATGGTATGGCTATTCTGGGTCATTTGGGGCTCCATATAAATTTTAGGATTATTTGTTCTAGTTCTGTGACAAATGCTGTTGGTATTTTGATAGGAATTTCCTTGAACCTATAGGTTGCTTTGAGTAGTATGGACATTTTAATGATGTTAATTATTTCAGTACATGATCACAATATATTCTTTCATTTATTTGTATCTTCTTCAGTTTCTGTCTTCAGAGTCTTACAACTTTTTGAGTACAGAACTTTTACCTTCTTGGTTACTTTTATTTATAGGTATATTTTTTTTTGATGCAGTTGTAAGTAGGATTGTTTTTTAGTTTCCCTTTCTGATTATTCATTATTGGTGTATAAAAATGCAACTGATTTCTGAATATTTAGTTTGTATCCTACTACTTTACTAAGTTCATTTATCAATTCTAGTAGTTTTTTGGTGGAATCTTTAGGGTTCTCTATATACAGTATTATATCATATGCAAATAATGACAGTCTTACTTCTTTCTTTCCAATTTGGATGTCTTTTATTTATTTTTCTTGTCTGAATGCTGTGGCTAGGACTTCCAGTATGTGTTTAATAACAGTAGTGAAAGTGAACATCCCTGTCTTGTTACTAATCTTAAGGGAAATGTTTTTAGCTTTCCTCATTGAGTAGGATGTTGGCTATGAGTTTGTCATATATGACCTTTATTATTTTGAAGTATTATCCCTCTATAGCCACTTTGCTGAGAGTTTTTATCATAAATGGGTGCTGGATTTTGTTAAATGGTTTTTCTACGTCTGTTGATATAATCATTAGATTTTTATCCTTCACTTTGTTTCTGTCATATATCTCGGTAATTGATTTGCAGATATTGTACCAACTTCACATCCCAGGAATAAATCCCACTTGATCATGGTGTATGATCTTTTTAATATACTGCTGAATTCAATTTGCTAATAATTTATTGAGGACTTTTACAGCTATACTCATCAGGGATATTCAATTTTTTTTTCAGAATTTACATATGGGTGAAATCCTGTAGTATTATCTTTCTCTGACTTATTTCACTTAGCATAATGCCCCAAGATACATCATTCCTGTTGTTGCTGAAGGGAAGATTTTGTTATTTTTTATGGCTAAGTAATATTCTATGTAGTTCTTCTTTTTTAAAAAATATTTCTTCCTTTTCTTTTTTTAAATATATTTTATTGTTTGTTTTTTTTTAACAGGGCGGAAGGGGAAGGGATAGAGAGTTACAAACGCCAATGAGAGAGAAACATCGATTAGCTGCCTCCTGCACAGTCCCTGTTGGGTATGTGCCCACAACCAAGGTACATGCCCTTGACTGGAATTGAACCTGGGCCCATTGAGTCCGCAGGCTGACACTCTATCCATTGAGCCAAACCGGTTAGGCGGGTTATGTAATTCTTCTTTATTCATGCATCTGTTGATGGGCATTCATGTACCTTCCTTATCTTGCCTATTGTAAATAATGTAGCAGTGAAAATATGCGTGCATATGCGTTTTCAAATTCATTTTGGGATTTATTCAGATAAAATACCCAGAAGTGGAATTGTTGGGTCCTTTCTTGTCTCTTGTTACATTCTTTGTTTTAAACTTTGTTTTGTCTGGTATAAGTATTGCTACTTCAGCTTTGCTTGTTTTCATTTCATGAAATATCTTTTTCCATCCCTTTACTTTTCTTTCCTTTTTTTAACATATTTTTTAAATTGAGTTCAGAGAGAGGAAGGAAAAGGGAGAGAGAGATAGAAACATTAATGATGAGAGAGAATCTCCTA